ACATGGTCGTCGGCACACAGTGCGTATGAGCAATAAATCTTTTTTTCCAAATGCCACAACGAAAGGAAAAACGTAAAATAAGTAGGCAAAGCAAAGACAAAGGGCCAAATGCGAAATGCGAAATGGAAAATGGGCGACGAGTGAGGTAGAAAAGCACAAATCACAGACGGCAGCTGTGACAGAAATCAAGTGCCAAGGCGAAGGCGAACTGGTTGGGAAATTGGGGTCTAAGGAAAACTCTCGTTTAGCAGGGGGTTTCGTGGTTCAGACAAAAAACCAATGAAAAAAAAGAAGGGTAAGGGAAAAAACCGTGCAAGGGCACGCTGCAGGTTGACGACTGTCACCTGCGAGTGTAAGTGTGCGAATTGCAGGCCGAAATGCAAAACCAGCGACAAGGACACCCAAGTAGGCGGAGGGGGGAAACCCAAGGCAAGCAAAGGACACCCAGCCATAAGAAGACAATGAGTTAAAAGCGAAATCTAGCATCAGAGGGGGGAAGGTTACGTCTCTACCGATCCTAACCCGTAGATATATATGCGCGCATATATCCTAGCCACAAACACACACACACAAACACAAAAAAAAAGCAGGAGGAAAACAGAGCGCAAAAAAGTAGGCAACATTAAAGATGCCAACGCAAGGACAAAGCTCAGCTGGTGGACGGTTTTTTTCGGGTGGAGGGGTGCAGGGGCGTGGTTTAAGGAAAGTGGCCATAAAAAAAAGGGCCCCAGCAATGTGTGCGGCTGAGAGCGATTGAAATGGCAGAAATGCGACTGCAAATCGTACATTTACACTCGACAAAAAAACCTTAAAAGAATGGAGAAATGTCTGAGAAAACGCAGGATTAATTGATTATTATTTTTTATATTAATAATAAGACACCAATTTAAGATTCTGTTGTTATTCTTTTTTATGAATTTATAATTAACTTCCTGTGACAGCTATTTTTGGCTGTGTTGTAAATTCATAAATATGCTTGGCAATTGATCAAATCCAGTGACTGTTTATGAGGGGGCACCACCATAAACCACCATGACCACCATATATATAGAGATATCGGGCCAAACGAGTATATAGCTTTATGTGCCGTCAGGGCCAATAATGCCGCTCAATTTGAAATGTTGATGCCCGATGATTATGTTGATGACGCAGCGCCATTTGGAGAATCTAGAATGAGAAAGATATATCTAGATATAGATATAGATAGATATTTCTGGTAGGGATCGGCAGGGGCAACAGCAGTATTTGAGTGTCAGTGGGTGAAAGTTGCCAGAAGTCGATAGAAAGCGGTAGAAAGTGGGCGTAGCAACTAGAAATGCAAGGCACATTGTTAACCCCACTTCATTGAAAATGCTAATCGCACTCATTACACGAAATATGCATGTAATAATAGCAAAATCAGCAACAACCAGACAACGAGCGATGCGACAGAGATGGGTATAGTCAAACGAAAGAGATGGGTAGATGGCGAGTGAAAAGAGACAGCTGCTGCTCGGCATGCGAATGAGTAGCCGCCTAGCTGCTGCTGCTGCTGCTCATGATGATGATGATAGTAGTAGTAATGATGATGTTGATGCTGATGGGAATAAAATTGTTGCCTTAGCCTTTGTTATGCCTCTCGAGGCTTTTGACAAATACAATATTCGAAAAGCCACAAATATTAAGAAATTATGAGGCGAACAGCTTGGTAGCTTTAAATTTATATTTTTAAGCAGTAAATTTAATGTAAAAACTAAGTAGATTTTTTAATTTACTAAGATTATTAACTCATATAAGATCTTGACGGTTTGTGTTTCCAACAAAAAAGGGTTATTTGATTTCTCCATTGAACCAAAAATAAAGTTGAAAATCTTCACACCAGTTTGGCTTAATTCCAGACTTGGGCATAACTTAGTCAGACTGCATAATATAGTTATTACGCCCTTTATCCTCTGTACGCTGCTCTGCATGATTAGGGGTTAAGGGTCAGGGGCTCTAGCTCGCCCCATTCTCATTTCATCTCTTGCCGTTTTTTCTTTTCTGCAGACTTGACATGCCGCTAGTGCCGCCTAATGAGCGCCCATAATGAGCGACAAATGTGGTGCGGGTGGCTTGGATTTCTTTTTGGAGTGAGGGGGCGGTGGCTTAAGAGGGCGTTGGATTGGTGGTTTGGTGGGGGGTTAGCCAAAGGCCGTGGCAGTGGCAACTTTCGGATGATGACGGGGCAAACTGGGCGGGCAGACAAACGGAAGTTGACGGCGAAAAATCGAATTTCTCTCGCGCTTTTTGACTTAAGTCCCATCATTTACCCAGGCTAAGGGTATTATAATTTTAATCACTTCAAAAGACTTTTGGAATGATGCTAAAAATTATATAAGAAATGTTATTGCCGCAGTTAAACTTAAAATAAGAAGTTCTCAGAAGATTTTTAACTGGAAAGTGGCATTATTTTTTAACAATTTTATCCAAAAATTGTTGTCCAACTTATTTTTCGATATAGCTGTATTTCGTAATATGCAAAATTCTAGAGATGCAAACAATTTTGATGTTGAAATTAAGCCATTTTGCTGTAGGTAAATATAATTATTTTTAAGACCAGTATACACACAGTTTCGATGTACAATAATGCACTCCCTTTCGCTCTTGTCGTGCTGTCGTTTCATTCGTCCTTTTTTTTTTTGTATTTTTTGTACATTTCGCCATGCATTTAATATGAAAAGACAACAGGCGAGGACAGGCAGGTCCTGGGAGGACGAAGAGGAGGAGGATGGCGGAACGGCAGGACGACGGCGTTGCCTTGCCCTGTCAAACCATCAAGGCGCTGGCAAGGACAATGGGGAAAGTCTTAAACGCTGTCAACGTTGGCTTTTTCAAGCTTCAAGTGGCAGGACGAAAAGTGTGCGAGTGCGAGTGCGAGCGAATGATGCCCCTGGCACATTTTTTCTTTTTTCCTCTTCTGTTTTTGGGAGACAAGCCCCATCTCTTTCATTCGTGCGGCTGTTTAAATTGACACTTGGCATCTTTTGTTGCATCAAAAACGTGTCGTCCTCGAGTCAGCCATCCTTCCATCCAACCATCGCATCGCTTTATCCAGCCATGTCCTGCCATCTGTTAACCTGCCATCAGCCACCTAGCGCTGCAGGCGAACCCTTAACCCTCTAATTAAGATTCACTTGATTCATTAGCCTTAAATTAATGTGGTAATTTCGACAATGATTTACTCAAGAAAGTACGTGAAATGAAACCATAGAACCTGGTGTGGAGAAACAGAAATATTTTTGGTAATATATATTGATAATTATTATTATTAATATCTACTGAAAAATTCTTTAATTTCAATTTTATAAATTACCTAAAAGAATAATGTAAATTAACGCAAATTGATACCTAAAAATCAGAATAATCTCATCATGAGAATGAGATTAAAAACATTTTCTAGAAAAATAACAGATATGTCACTTGGGTATTAAGAGGGTTAAATATTTAACAGTGTCAGGTGAGCAGAAGAGTGCTGCTGAAAGGAGGGGTGGGGAGTGGGTGCTTTTCGGGGACAAGGACAGGCTGTGGGGGGAATGGAGGTGGGGGAAGGTCATGCACACTCTTATGACATTTTCTTAAATTACTTCCGAAAGCCTTTTCACGCCCTCGCCGAATTGCTCATTCATGCCACTCCCACACTTGGCAGCATATTTCCCACGCCCTCTATTCCACAAAATTTCCCACGTTTTCCACCTTTTTACAAGCCATCCCTGCCCAACCCCTCATTTTGTTCAAATGGCGACTTAAAGTCGCCCTAATTGAATTGCGCAATAATGTAGCAACTTTTCAGGGACCTGTGATGTTTCCCCCTTTTTTTTTGTAGATTAAATTTTTCCATGAATTAAATTAGCGAAATGGTTTGTTGGCAACAACAGTTGTTGTACTTTAATTTTCTGTATTTAATTCTAACAAAAGCTTTTCGCATCCAATATTAATTTGGCTAAATGCGAGGCAACATCACAAACATTTCAATGGGCTGCGCGGCATTGTAGGCCATCAATGTCATGTCATGTTTATTTATTCTAAGCACCGCATGACAACTCTGCCTTTTGGAAATAAATCAAGTTCAAAGGTGACAGCAGCAGGAAATTTCAAGGACAACCTATCGATTTTCCTCGCCGGCAATAAGTTAGATTAGAATTTAAATAATGATAACTATCCTTTAAAGTTCTCCAATTTAATCTTGAATATTTAATTTAAAAGAAAATGTTTATCCTTAGATATTACTCAACCAAATTGAAGCAATTAAAATCCATTCAGACTGTCTTAGGAATTAAAGTTTTGGGCAATCACTCAGCCACTCAAAGGACTTTCAAGATTATCCTCAACCCAAGAAAGAAAAACAAAAAAAGGGACACTCGTTCGTCAAGTCGCTGGCAGAGTTATTAATTAAATTAACAGACCCAAAGGAGCCTTGTGCCATGAACAAAAACTTTGGGCGAGAAAGCCCTGGGATACCTTTAGATCTGGCCTAAAAGAATTACGCAAAATTATGAATTAAAATTCACAAAATGTTTGCGGACCAAGACAGAAACAAAAAAATTCTTCATTCTAATTTATACATTTATATTCGAGTATATATATATATATATACATTTTAAAACAATCCAATTTCGGGTCAGCGGTGAGGACGAGAATTATAATTAAAATTAATTTGCATAAACAAAAAAGTAAGGAAGCTTGTCCTTGAGGGAAACATTTATATGGGGTTCAAAATTGTATTCTTCTTTGAAGATAAAGCCTTGGTTTGGCTAAGACTGTTTTATGTTACTTAGATTTACTTATTAAATTGAAGGGGAGAAGATTAAAAAACAGTGTTTAAGATTTTTACCTTTCCTGAAAGTTGTTTAAGTTTAAGTTCAAAAATATTTGAACTTTAAGACAATTTCCTCTTACCCATACACATACACTCTTTTACCTAACAACAAAATGAAAAGAAAATTTCGAATAAAAACACTAATTAAATGTGTCGTTTCTTGCAGGATCTCTCCCTAACTATATCCCTTCGCGCTATCTCTACTCTTCGCAGAATAAAGGACGAAATGGAGATGGAGGAATCGCAGGAATGAAAAAATGTAAAGCAAAGAAAGGACAACGAGGACAACAAAGAGCAAAACAAAGGCGAAAGAACTGGGAGGAGGCCACAAGAAACCGAAATGAAACACACATTTGAAGAATTTTAATCGAAAACTGCCAAGAAACAAATATATTTACAAATATATTTATATACCTAGTAAACCAAAAAATGAACATACATTAACATATATATATATACATAGATATATATTATATAGAGCAATATGTTATATTTACTATGAAATCGAGGAGGAGCATAGACGCAACACTCAGAATAATAATCGATGTAAATAAATGCTGCCAATTCGAGGACACTGCGAATTAAAACTGCAACTGAGATGCATGAAACGCACAACAACAATAAGCCAAATCCACATGAACAACACGTGAAGAGAAAGTTCACATTTGCCGCAACAGCTGCGCCTGCGCCCTAAAAAACAAAAATATCAAATTTGATAGTCAGATTGTGGCCGCCATACCAGAATATTATATATATATATATATATATTTCCTGAATATATATATATATGCGATTGGGAAGATCCAGCACCGCAGCACAGGCAACAAAAAAAAGCGTGCAGAGGGAAATGAGATGAAGTGGTTTCAAGTGACCATAGATATGATTCTTGTGCTTTCATTTATATCAAGTAAGTGGCTCGTATTTATTAGCCTCGACCCAATCTTGTTTGGCCTACTACCCACTCATATTGCCCGGCGCCCATTCCAAACCGAAACCCCCCCCTCCAAACCCCATAAGCCCCGCATCCAAATCCTTTTCCCCGCCTCCAAACGAATCCCCTCGATTCGAGTGCCATTCAAACAAAGCCCGTCGACGGCAAGGACTCGCAACACAACACAAAACAATCGCATGACATTCGCCCGACATCCTCTCAACACTCAAAACATTCTCCAAGTTCCGCCGGCTTTTGGTCCCCTCGAAATCCCATTCTCCTCCTCCACCTCCTCCTGCACATTGCCCCTCCTCGATTCTGCGTATCCGTGTGTCCATTGAGGCGCTCGAGTGCTTTGAGTTAGTTATGGGGGCGGAACTGGGAGGACAGGATTATAGCGCACTTACAAAATTGGATTCGATACAAAAACTGAATGCATAAAACAAACAAGGCGCTAATCTATGTTATCCATTATGATTATTTAATCATAGTTTTTCAAAACATATTCGCTGACCTAAGATCATCTCTTGGTTTGCTTTTCTCGATCAAATCCGAAAAGACAAAAGGCAGAAATTCTCTATCAAACCATTAGATTCTCTCAGTAAATCAATCTTTTCTTAGCACAATATTTCTTATTGATTATTTAGAAGTACATGTACTTTATGTACTTAACAAGTACAATTAATATTTCCTATTCCAACCCCTATGTTTCTCTGTGTGTATCAGAGGAAGAGGGCCAGCCATGTCCATAGAATGCTGAGATGATGAGGATTCCTGCAGGGGCTTTCCAGGACTGAGGTTAGCTGTTATTGTCTGTGCCAGGCTTTATTGCCAAAGCTTAATTTGGATTTTGGCAATTGCCGCAGAAAGAATACAAAACAAACACACTCACATATACACACACACTACAGTAAAAGGATAGTACTACGAGTAGGAATAACAAATGAAACACAAATAAAAATCACTTGATATAAACGTTTGGGAATTGGGATTAATGCACCCGCTTCAGATCGTTGTTGCAAATATATATTCCCTATTTATTGTAAAATCAGAAGTGCATTCTATACATATTTTTGAAAAAATAGACAGTTAATAATGGAACTTTTTTTTCTTACCTTTAAAAACCATCAAATTGTGACACATTCAAACAGTCAAATATCTTGGATTTAAGCATTTTTCACTATTTTTTTTTGTCGAAGGTCGAATTGTGATTTTCCGAAAGTTGCCATTGTGGAAAGTTAAGAGGGGAGGGGCAGCGTAGACATTTAGTTGGCTTGAAATGGAAAGTGGCGAGAACGTAACGGGATGAGTTGGCTAATGCAGCCGAAGAAGGCCGAAGGACAATGGTACGGCTGCCCCTTCGTTTTTAGCACTGGCGCTTCGGGTTGCTTGGTCTCAGTTTCAGAGTCAGTTTCTGTTTCAGTTTCAGTTTTAGTTTTAGTTCTATTTGGCGTCCGCAAAATGAGGCCGCTGCTTTGTATCTGTATATGTGGCCCCGTATCTCTCTCTATGTGTATATCCCTATCTGTATCTGTGTCTGGGTATCTGTATATATGTACATGTGTGTGTTTGGCTGCATAGCCGAAACTGGCACAAGGCAGCCACGCCCACAATCAAAGCAGCAGCCCCCACTTCTTGGCCACCAACGCATTGATTGCTGCGAACTGGCAGGCTCAGTTTATCTCCCATATTCTACGATGGATATATATATATATATCCATTTTTTTTTTTAACTTTTTTATCCCACCCACTGGGCAACGCCTTTTGTGCGTGTTTTTCCCGATTTGATTTTCCATTTTTTATGCGCATCGCGTCGCGGCGCGTCACCAAGGCCAGCCAGCATTTAATGGTCCACCCACAACTGTATTCACTGTATTCACTTTCACTCCTTGGCTAAAATCGAAATCGAAGGCTTACAAAGAAATCGTTTGGGTTTTTACTTTTCTCTCGTCTTCCTTTTTTCCCTTTTTTTAACACAGCAATTTGGTTGTATTTTCAAGCACCAGTGCGAAATGCTTGACAGAAACATATGTATGTGATAGGCGACAACTATTTGTTAAATAAAATAAATTGAACACGCATTAATCACCATTCATACGTTCTTATTCAAAATAGAAGCATTTAAATACAGTTTGTCATTGCAAACGTTTAGCCAAATTAAAGGCTTTTAATTCGATTTAAATCTGATTTGTTTGCTAAACTTTTTTGTGTTAGTTTAAAAGGATACAATAATAAGCATTTAATGGCTTGATTTTTATAGAATTTGAAAATAGTCTAAATTTAAGCAAGACAATTAAGGCTACTTGGCATGTTCAGAAAGCATCCATCCTTGACAGAAACATGAATAGATGAAATAAAGGCAAAAATACAAAATAAGTACTGCACGATGGTAAACATAAATCTGGAAATTTGTTTTGGGGCGCTGACTCCTCACTCCTTCTCGTTCATTCTTCTTAAACAAGCATTGAATTTCTTTCGATTTAAAAAGCCATAAATTGCGCTCGAAAAGCTTCCTGGCTGTCTGCGCTGACTGGCCTTAGGGCCGTATCCGAGGAGTTTCTCTTTTTTTCCGGTATGGGTTGATCCCCGGGAAGACCATGGAACCGCTAAAGAAAGAAAAACCCAAAGCGAAACCGAATCAGAAAGCAGCGCCCAAAAGCGGGCAACACAATTTTTCATGTCATCATTTTTCGGGGGGCCAAGGCATCGGGCAAACATAAATATAAATGCCAGTAAAGCACGCCCAAAAAGGAGAGGGATAGAGTCAAAGACACATAGAGCAAGTGAGAGAGGGAAAGGGAAGACTAACCAACACATATGCACTGGCATCAATGGCTGCTGCAAATGGCTGCTAATGCAGCTGCATCAGCCGAAGACGAAGAAGCAGCCACGCTCCAGTTTCCGCTTTGTGGCCATTAAACGGGCCAAACACATACACTCACTCACAAACAGGCACACACGCATGCACACAGCTGTACTTTGTACACTGAAAAATATCTGTCTACTAAATCAAACAATTGCGATATTCAGTTGCTTACATAGTATAAATTGCCGTGATACGATTTTTAGGTCGTGATAGTTTTATTTGTACTTTTTTAGATACATTTCTCTCAGTGCAATAGGACCTTGGCCACGGCAGTGCATCTAACGCCCTCTTTTAGCATCAAACGACAGACGACATCAAGCCCATTTCCACAGCATCCACTGCCCCGTCAGTCTACTACTTTATTCCAAGACTACTTATTTGAAACGGCGGGTCATAGGTCAAACTATAACTTTTGCGGCATATATTACACACAAAATGTCTGTGTATTTGTGTGTTTGTGTTCTGCCCTCCAACGGTATACTCCATTAGGTTGAGAAATTCATTGAATGTTTTTATAAAGAATTTCGCAAATGATGTACAATAAATTGCACTTTGAGTTTATTTGCGACCATGAAGACTTTATGTACTAGATGTCTGCAATTGCAAAGAAATGGGTTAAATCAATGGGAAAAATAAATGTACAAAAATTGCCATTTCAATTCTTCAAGATATTGATTGCGAAGTATACATATCTGGATAATGTGCTATCTTTGCTATAACTTTGAAATATTTAAAAGAACGAAAGTTATTCGTCATAAAGTTTAAATTTTTCCTTTCTTTTTAATTCAAAAACTTATTCTTATGATTTCTGAATATATTTTATAATTTTGCCAAAAAAAAAAAAAAGAGAGTATTGAAATTCCGCCATTGTCCGTCTGTTAACACTATCGCTTCGTATAATTTTTCACTTCCAACCACTTTATCTACTGCGATACTAATGTCCTCCAACGCCCTTTATCCCCTTGCCCCCTGTCGCGTCCTTCGTTAATGCAATTGCCACGCCCCTGCGGCTGCACTTACGTGGCGCTAATATAGAAAAGTGAAGTGCCACCGACAACGTTGACGATGGGAACGATGACGACAACTACAACGACAACTACAACGACGATGGCACTTGCAAAAATGGGGCGTGTTGGCGCCCTACTCGAGTCACTATACACTGAGAGAAGAAAGTGATATTTAAAGATCGAGTTTTTAGATTTCATGAGGTTTTACAATGGTCATAGGATATGGCTTTTAAGTAGTTAGATAATTTTCTAATGTTAGTTGCTTTGTTTTATTTTTTGTCTGAGAAACAGTTTACTTTTTTTATCAGTGCACCAGTAAGTGAGAGAGCTAGAGAACGCCCACTTTTTGCTGAGGCAGTGCGGCAAATTCACTGCAGCAGCAGCAGCAGCAGCAGCAGCAGAAGCATCGGGAGAAGTGGCAGTTGAGGAAACAGGAGCGTTTGGTCTGCCGTCGTCTCCATGGCCACCGCGTCCATCGTTTGTCCTTCGTTCGACGTCTGGGTTGCTGGGTTGCCTCAAGTGGAGCGACCACCATTCCACAGTATCCCAGTATCTAGCCGCCACAATCGACGTGCCACAAACTCGGGCTCGGAATCCGAGAATCCAAGAATTGGAGAACCCAAGGGTCTGCCAGGAGATGGCACGAGGGTGGTTAGTGGGTGACGGGTGGATGGAGAGCGGGAATTTGGGTCACCATCCTTGACGGTGACTGCAATTTTTTGGCATGATTCATGACCGCACCATGGCAATGTCGTCCTCGTCGTCTACGCGCGACTTAACACACACAAAAAGTGGCACAGACACATGCACCACATACACTGAGAAAGATCTTTGATCAAGGAAATATAAGTATCTATATACTACAAGTTTTCCTATTATCTTTAAGGGAGAACTGTGTTTAATATAAATATGAGGTAGTTGCAGAATAGAATGCAGTTTAATTTAATAGAGGATACTAGCAATTTTGTTCTGTGCACAATTTAAAGTGGAGTCTGGGGAGAGACAGACGCTCGGAAGCCTGCGGCATCCATCGGTTGGTCAATGTGTTTGGGTGCTTGCCACAATGGGCGACCGTGCAGTTCCGAAGGAGTAAAGGAGCAGAC